CAAATCCTACTTAATCCAGTTATGTTATAATTAAGAGTATTAAAGTATCGTCTGTATAATTATTAGTAAGAAATCTCCATTGTTGTTCTAGGAGAGTGAGGTGAATATTTGTAGTAAAGTAGTAAAGACCTATTTTCACTAAAACAATGGGCACAGCAAAAAGCAATACATTTACTGGTCCTTTGGATACGTGGACTGTATATCAGATACGCAGTCATACTCCGTCCATTGAGAATGCAATTGCAGAAAACTAGACAATACCACTTTCTACCCTCTATGCGGATAATACAGAAGTCGAGTTTAATTAGTAGAAAACGTGTGTGTTGGTATTACATAACTAATGCTGGTAGATAATATCTGCATTAATTTATCTGATTATGCTTCTCTGATTAGAGATGAATATGACATATTCATAGTGCTTAACTGTTGATGGTATTCCTCATGTGCTCAATGAAGATATAGTGATTGGAATTAAGGTAGATTATTTAGGGTATAATTTCTTAACTTTTTACCTTAGAATGCATTTAAGCACGTGAAATGCATCCAGCATTGCTTGCTTGTTTGCCAAGATAGACGAATTAACCCGCGATCACCCATAAATGGCGTTATGAAACTCAAGAAAGAGCATGGAGACGTCTGAATAGTCAATAATGCTTTTGTTTGCATGCGATATTTGCTTGATTTTATGACTTAATATTTGCACTCTGCACTGGTTTTTCCAGTCTGTTCGCCGACTAAAAAAAAGACTGTGGTTATTTAACATGCATCACATTTCTTTCGTTACTAAGATATTAATGTTAATTTGCTGAAACTTATTTATTTGTTTTAAATTCTGATTCAAGCATATAGCCTTTTTGTTTATGCCAAGGAAAACTTTTTATTTTCATCTGCTACCATAAATAATAACATTGGGCTTACAATCTGAACTCTGATTATTGACAAGTGTTCCGTCAAAAATCCCATCTTTAGATCATACAAGCCGTTTTTAATCCATTGAAACTTTAGAAAGCAAAATGTGTAAGAAGTGAAACCTTGGTTAACAAATGCGCAACTTCAAGAACAAATTATTTGGACTATGTCTTGGATGATGAAAAGTGTCACGATTTACGAATTCTCAAATCGACGACATATAGTTTTATTATGGTTATGGTATTTCGAAGTATGAGTGCATTAAAATGTCATTGTATGCCGTATAATTAATATTGAGGGTTTTCTGGAAAAATCATTTTAATATTTTCGATTGCTTAACGACGCTTGGTGACTTGCTGGATCGTGCATTTATCCTGGAAGAAATTATGGCCAGATTGGGTGGAGAAATTATGACAGGGTAGAAACTTTGAGCGCTTTAATACTTGGCAGCTTTTTAGTATTTATGACATTTCGCCTATAGGTAAAACCGTGAACTAGTAATAAGTTAACAATGAAGGTATTGAGAAGTCACTATAGAACCACAAAACTTACATCATCCAGAAAGAACTACAAAAACCTCGGGAGCAGCAACAAATGGCGACTCTAGAAATGCCTTTTAAAGAAGAAGGAAAAATGATTTTATTCTGTGATCTAGTAAATTCAGCCAAACGGATTAAGATGGAAAGTTTTCAAGTATCGGCATCATCCTGATAATACATTAGCAAACTACAGCATAAGAAATTTTACTGACAATGTACGGCTCAGTTTAGAAACCTTCTAAAATATAACCAACACTAAATTTTAATCAGACAAATTTCGAGTAAAGCAGATGCCCAGTGAGTTCTCTCCAGACGACAAAAGTTTTTATTCTGAAACCCCAAATTTCCTCATGATCTATGAAAATGAGATATATTTTAATTAAAATACAGAAGTACCCCTTGCATTTTAGACCTGGAATCTCTTAAAATACGACTCTTATATATTTATTTTTAAATGCTACAAAATATATTAAGTGCCAGATATGTAAGTCGTGCCGTTTAGAGGATTAATCAGAGTGGTGCTTAGAGACAAAGCCAAAACAAAATGCCTTCTAATGAAATTATTTATTATGGTGTTTTCATGCAAAGGAATTTCGCATTTAAACAATAACACCTTCTTCATCATATTCCACTTACGCCCCCCCCCCCCAAGTAGCACGACAACGTCGTGAAGACATTGCTGACTGGTCCGAGAGGTTACAAAGTGGTCATGGTACAAAGTGGTCATGGTACAAAGTGGTCATGGTACAAAGTGGTCATGGTAACGACGTCTTTATAACCTTGCGAAGACGCAAAATATTTGCCGTTGCATCTTGGCAATTTGTCGACGTCGCTGAAACAGCATGATATGACTGCTTTTAGAAGTGGTCGTTTTAGCGTCTTTTTCATGGTTCATCAGCGTTACTTTTTAGAATGAAAAGAGAATAAAATCTGCCCTTTCAAGAATCTGAAGTCCGCATAAGATTTATTTTGCAATGTTTCATTACTTTCTTTCATCTAAATATATTAATCTAAGGTAGATTCGTCTAATGAAATATAAAATTAATGTAAATATTTGAATTATTAAATTTAATTAGTTTTAAAAATACTTAATAATTTAATTAATTTTAAATTATTGTTAAAATTTCGTTAAATAATTAATTCTTAAAATATTTTTTATAAATATTATACCAAAACATTTAAAAATGAAACTAATTTATAAAGTAAGTTATTAAGTTATGCATTTTATATATTTTAAAAAATCGTATTTCCTAAATAAATGCAAATCACATGTTAGCAACTATTTCACTGCTGAAATATGACTTTGTTTATTATTTTTCAATTAAGGACGAATTTATTTAAATTAATATGCTGACATACTATGAAACATTTTACCGCATACAGATCAAAAAGTACAATTTTCGCGAAGATATAATTGTGCGTGATGATGTATTCACGGATAAAAATGGAGCGTCCAATGTTAAAAGGCGAAGCATATCCATGCATATTTAACGGCTATCCAATATATATGACGGAAAACTCACCGACAGTCAGGAGAAGCAGAACGGAAAAATTAATGGAAAAGGAGAAAGATACATTAACGATTTTAAAGGCGAAAGGAGAAAGAAATATTAATACTTTTTAATGGAAAACGACAAAATTAATGGCTTTAATAAATAACTAATAAATATTGACATCAAAATTAAAAAAACTGTAAACAAAAATACGAAATTCATTACCTATAAAAATTCTGATCAACTGTTTGTTAAGTTTTCGTCCATCTCCACGCATTTAAAAATGCTTGGTTTAATCCTAGTATACGGTACACTCGGGATTTGGAGATATTGACATTCCATATATATAATTTTACCGAACTATTGCACTAGTTCGGTAAAATTAAATTATTTTGATCCATTTTATCTGTTTAATATTATACTGATCATACTTTATTTATATTTACTGATTTCCATTGGTTTTGGATTATCAGGCTAGACACCAAATACTGTTATAAAACTTTAACTTTTTGCATCGGTTGAGGCCAAATCTATATCTGTCAAACATCTGAAACTCCCATCTATACGATTTTTTGTTGGAATGGATTTCCTTCTTCCCTGGCAATTGGAATACTACAGCGTTAAGAATAACCTACTGAAGTGAAACGATTACTTCTCTTGGAGATTATTTTGCGGTTTTCCCCACTGTGCACAATTCCCTCTCACACTTGCAACTGTGAGTTAGACGTTGAAGTAGAGAAGACAGAAGATACATTCACATAATAAAGCTGCTTTTAGTCGCAAAAAAATGACTGGAATGTCATTTAGCAAATCCCGAAATCAATAAACAATGCGCTGATTCGATGGAAGAAAGCACCATGTAGGAAATGGATGCAGGATTTCGGGAGACCCGCCAGATGGCTTAATGGACGTTTCGGGCTACTTCGCTGTGAAAGAGTTGAATGAGCAATCATATGCTTCCAGGAACGATTAATAAATTAAAATTTGTTATGAGAAAAGCTGTTTTGATTGACAAACAATCTCCAAGAACAAATAAAATTCGTGAATCAAGGTTTCACTGTCCGTTCATTTCGTCCTCGTAGAGAAACGCATCTTCCTCCTTTACAAACTTGCCTTGCTGAAATGAGATATTGAGTGAGAACAAGTGCTTATTAGCTGAAATCACGATCGGAATTTTCCGGAAAATGTCACATGACATGTCTCATGATCTCTCATTTCTCTGAGACAAAATAATCTGTGATTCGAACTGTGTACTTCTCAGATTATTGTTAAGTCCAACCTAGTAACCTTTATGGCCTTACCAAACTGTCGTCAAACTACCTGTTACCATATTCCAAAGATTAGCCAAACTGTGAAGCCTGAGAGAAAGATAAACATAGGTACAAAGCCTTATTAATACAAACATTAATTTTTACATTTGCAGTTATTTTACTTTTTGGGCGTTTTGTTATCTAATAATAGCATTAGACACTATTACACATTAAAAGAACAAATCAAACGAACTACTATTTTTTATTCGAAATATTTCTAATACATTCTTTTTACGTTATTTCCTAAAAAGTAGTTTTCACGAATAAATTTTATTTCAAAATAGAATTACATTAATAGAATTCATAAAGCCGATAAAACAGTCACAAATGACAGACAGATTTTATTGGCTTCGAAATTTACACTTAAAGCTTCATTCGACACCGTACAGATTATCGGCATTTTCTAATAAAAAGAGAAAGTCGAACATGAGTATTACTTAGAAATCAAGCCTTATTTTTTGAGGGATGCTGGCTCTCATATGAACTATTATTTGAAATAAAAATACTGTAGTAGCAACGAATTGTGTTGAAACTCGGATAGTAAAGTCTCCTATTTTTCCACAGTATTCTAAAATACTCCTTTCTGTCTAAGAATATGTTAAATTCGATGCCAAAAACTTATTTACATTATAGACGTATTCCTTGTTTGCAAACTGTGACATACATTCATTACAGAAACAAAATCGCGTACACATTGGATATCAGTTCACATATTTTATTATCTTCTGATAAAAAGAACATTTACGCACTTTTTATTCTTCCTTTTCATAGCAATACGGTGCGTCTTCAGTTGTTTCGAGATAAAAAACAATGGATGTGTCTTTCCGAGCTAGCTGTTTGTCATTGATTGAATAAAAGCCCATGCTAACACAATTATCTTCACAAACACCCCATTTGTCTCTAACGATGTTTTCTGTATTATCGCATTGTGTTGACTTGAATTTGCAACTGGAATATTTTATACTGGCAATGAACAATTCGTAAGCTCTTGTATGGCTGCACAGTATGGCATAAATACTCTTTGGAACTGCAAAAATAAAAATAAAATATTGAAAGCATATCACAGTTGGTAGAAATTCATATTATTATTAATATATCATTATTCTTTCAAAAATAATTACGCATAGCTAATTCACACTTCTGTCTCAAAATACCTTTTAACAATCAATTAGTATCAGGTGTCTCTCTACGGCAGGCACTAGCTATTTTTAGACTACTAAGGCCAGAAGAGGTGGTCATTTTATTGCGGAGGCATCTAATAAGAGTAACCATTACCTCCAATTGAGGAGGCATACAATTGCATCTATGCCTTTTCTGGGATTCTAACTCGAGCCCTTCGGTATCACAGTCGGCTTCCCTAACCACTATACAGTCTGGGCGGGGGTCTAAAGTGTGTTAAGGGCTGTAGTATAAGGTGCATATGGGCTGGTTATATAGTACAGAAACGTGATATTCATCTCTTAAGGAAATAGGGTTACTTTTTAACTCCTTATTAGGTTTTGAATAAATATTTTAGAGCTGGAAATGTAGGATATGCTGATAGAAAAGTAGTTCTGAGATGGTAATTTAGCAGGCTTACAGTACCTTAGCAGCCATGCAAAGAAATCGATAAAGAGGAAGAAACCAAGAATTTAAAACATAGGTTTTTTAAATATTTATGGCAGCAGTAATTTGTATGAAAACGGAAAATGCCGCAATCTGAGAGATTTATATTTATATTAGGAAATCCGATTATAGGAAATACGTAAAATTCAAGACTAAACACAGTTACTGCACAAGGAATGTAATAAAAAAATTCAATAATCTAGTTGACAGAAATATCTTTACATTAATTAAGTTTTTTATATTAACTTGCTAGTGTTATTTTTCCTACTCTTGCGTTAAAATTATTTAGTAAGAAACTCTTCAGTGTTTCTTTGTCCTTGAGTTCTTGGAGCGCAACAGCTTTAGTTCTGTAGTTTTTACAAATGCTTAAGGTGTAAAAATATGCAAACAAACAAACCTTAATATGTAAATTATCTAAGTGAGCTTATTCTTTCAATTATGACATTACATCTGCGTTAACAGTATTGAGCTCAGATAAAAAAAAAAAAAAAAAAATTCAAGGTTACTGTCTCTATAATTTTTACATTCATTGATTAAGCCTCCACTTTATTTTGTGTGCATGTGCGTCTGTGGTGTATGCATGTGTGTGTTATGGCATTATTTATTTAATAGTATTATACAGCTAAAGGAAGTTTTAATATAAATTTAGATTTTTAATACTTTTGAATTTAATTCTGACTGAATACCAAGTGATGCTACTGTTGGACAGATGTCGAACATTTGTCAAATAAATGTTGTGTTTCAAGTATTGGTTACCTACAAGTCTAAAGGATATTTTTGAATCGGCCGAAGCTCAGATAAAAAAGTCGTATAGAATAATAATATAATAGAATTTATTCAAGTAGACTTTGGACATTTTTACGTTTGTCATGCCTATAGTTATTTTCATTTATTAAATCACAGCGTAGACGTTAAATAAAAATCCGGTGTTTTATAGCTTGCCTTACATTATATGGGCAGCTTTTAGACTTGACTGTTAAGCCTATTATGGTTTTTTCTGACGAATAACTCTTTCAAGGCGTTAAAATATCCCGTAAACTACCTTAGACCTGTAAAATATTTCATAATTAATCTTGTAGAGAAATTAGGATATTTTAATGCTGATAGCTGCGAAAAAGGAGCAATGCCCTTGCTGGGGCTCAGACCTCTCGAATACGCGTCGAGTGTGCTGATCATTACACTACGAATACACAGCAAGAAGGCGGGAGAAATACCTTGTATGTTCCCCCTTTTAAAGGGCAACTGGGGATTAGGGGACCAATCGTCAAATCCTGTTGGTGAAGAATCATCATCCAACACCCTTTTTTAGTTCGGGCGCCACAGTAGAGACATTAGATATTTTTTTTTTTGAAAGCAGGAAAGATGAAAAATTAGCAATACCCTCGCCGGAACTCGAACCACGAACTTCCCGAATACGCGCTGAACGTGCTGACCACTACACCACGAAGGCGGGAGAAATACCTTATATACTCCCCCTTTTTAAAGGGCAACTGGAGATTAGGAGACCCAATCGCCAAATCCTGTTGGTGGAGAATCATCATCCACCAACTTTTTCAGTTAGAGCGCCACTCTAGAGACATTAGGATATTTTGATGCTTAAATTTGTGAAAATTGAACAATGTCTTCTTGGGGACTCGAACCTCAGACCTCTCGAATACGTGTGGAGTGTGCGGACCATTACCACGAAGGCAAGCTAAATAGGCGGGATAAATGCCTTATGATCTTTCTACAATAGTGACATAAAACAGTTCTGATTTTTTTCTTTCTTTTGCATTTCTTCTTTCAATAAAGCAATAATCTTCTCCGAATTTTTTAAGTGGGAAAAAGTAATTTTTCATATATTTCGTAAAAGCGCATAATGATAGTTTGTGAAACATCGAATAGAGGTATTTGAAATGAAAATCCCCCGAATATATATTTTGGCTGGCTCCTTGAAATAATCTCAAACGAAAACTGAAGCATAAATACATTCGTACGTTGTGGAACATTTTCGATTTACAGAACTAAATGCTAGCAAAGTTTTCATTATACATTTTACAAAAAGTGTTTTAATGTGTTGAATTTATTAACTTTATTTTTAATCGTAACTTAAATGTATAGTTCTCACGAAGATTCTGGGAAAAAGAAATTAAATACTTTACTCTAAAAAGGTATATCCGTTAGGAACTTCACAAACAAGTTCAAATACACCTGTGGAAAAAATAAGCTTTTAAAATACAGATTTCGCGTTTTCTCTTTCAGTTTCCATCTGGCGAAACAGTTCACTTAACAGTTAGGCTCCACGCCATGCATGCTGGTTCTAACACTTGGTTGTGGAGTTTTTATATCAATAAACACACAAGCAATTAAATTTCGTGCAATTCGTGTTAGTTGAAGATACTTTATTTTTTTATTTTTTATTTTTAAATTTCTTTATTTCATCATTTATTAAAACACTAGCATGCTTATAATAATTCTTTATTGTATTTTATTAGATACGACTTTAAGTTTCAAATGTTGCCTTAAATCAGAATCAAGATGCCTGGTTAATTAACCCCTTATTTAGCTACATGCCTCTCTTATTTGGCAATATCTTTATTTGGACACTTTATTTTATCACTTTATTTGGACACATTACTCAGTTTCAGAAAATCATAAAGTAATATTCTGCTTCCTTAACTCGCTTATTAATCTCACCGATGTATTTTACATGTTTCCGTATACAAATAGGAGGAAATTTGGCAACTCGATAACAATATTTGAATGATAATAGTAACCCCGATCACTTTAAGCGGCGCCTACTGTGTATACTACTATATATATAATACACGTGTATGTGTATATACACACACGCACACATACACATTCAGCTATTTTTTTTACAATTTTATATTCTTTACAATTTATACTTTTATTTTTTTAATTGTTTTTGTATTTTGAAAAGTTTATCTTTCATTTTCAGTATTTCCTTTGGAGAGCAGCACTTACGTTTCGTAATTTAATTTTGATTTAATTCTTGCCTCTTGATAAATTAATTTCGGAGCATACTGCGCTACTTTAATAATCTACATCATCTTAATTTGAAATACTCAGCTCTTAAATATATATACATGCATATATAAACTTTGTAGAAGCCTGTTTTTAAGGCGAAAAGATTTTAATATTATTTCTGCGCAAAATACTACTGAAAAATTAATTATAGAGTAAAAATGTAATACTTTTTTTGGAACTAACTTTTCAAAGACCTTTCAAATTAGTTATATTTTTAAATTTCTTAATGACAAATGTTTTACATATTTATATACATATATAAGTGTGTGAGTATAATTTATGCAATATTATTCGATAAATGAAACATCACATAGTAAACTTTACTTGGATATAAAATATAAAAATATGAAAAAAAAACTGTCTTGTGATTGCTAATTGGTTCTTTATTAGGGAAAGGGAGGAAGTCGATCCTGAAGATGAAAGGTTGTGAAGAGAAATTGCTCTTCTCTGGCTTTAAGTTTCAAGATCCCTGATGTCCTCCCATCATAATTATAATCTTGAATTTAGACATAGATATTTCCTCTTCCAAGATAAATTTCTGTGTTAACATTCTGTTCCATAATACAGCAGTTTCAGCTGCATTAAGTATTTCCCTTAAGCAGATATCCCCCTCTTCCATTCTTTCTGCCAGAAGTGCGGGAAATTATCTTATAGTATTTGTATCAATATTTGCCACGTAACTTTGGTGATGTGTAGACGCAATAGCTTTAAATAAACTTTCCGTGATATTAATATTTGGCTTGCAGATTTTTTCCTAAAGAATTTTCTTTTCCTGTATAATCCGAAACCTCTACAGTATACTCTTCTGAGCCATATTCTTAATTCTAGTGCGACAATATTTTTTTCATTTCTGAAATCGGACAAGTCTGCTCTTGGTAATAATTATGTCCTTCAATGTTACGACATCTTTCGTAATTTCAACAAAACGAACTTTATCGTGTTAATTCTCCACTTCCTAAGTAGGTCGATTTATAACCTGAGCTAATGTCCGTATAGTTTTTCTGCCTTCGTACAAATGTATGAAGACAGGAAAGAAACATACAAATGTAACATATTTTAATTTTCCTCTAAATAATTTCCAAAGTGTTGTTTTAAGTTTCCGGCGTATTCGATTTCGTCTTTCGTATTCCTTTTAAAAGTAAGTAAACAATGAACACTGTCGGTAATAAACAAATGACTAAACTACTCATACAAATATTGTTTAAATGAAAACAGTAGGGGTCAGGGAAAACAAGAATTTTTAATGGAGGCCATTATTCTAACTGATAGTTTCAGAATGAATGCTACAACATTTGGTAGTTACGTAACTGCGAAATTACGTAAGATGGCGGTCAAGTCTAACAGGTAGAAAAAATTGATATGAAATGGATCTGGATATAGAAGAAATAGACTTTCGCGTTTCATGTTTTCTTTGGAGGGGACTTTCGTGTTTTGTGTTTTCTTTGGAGGGTTTTTCGATTACAATTTAGGAATTCTTACACTTAAAGAACTCTAAGTAAACAAACGTAAATAAATAATAACTTTAAATTAAGGATTTAATAGTTAATAATTCATTATATGTAAGTAATAATTTTAAATAAAAAATCTGGAATTGGGTATCGAATTTCAGCTTCCATACTTACTTTCTTGAGATTTTCCGCTGCTTAATTTCTTAATTAAAGTAAATAATTTTAAAGGATTGCTTGAAATTTCATTGAAGAGAGTTGATTCCGCCTCTTCTACACTTTTACAACCAGGTTGGTTTACTCCACCGTTGGGGTAAAAATCAAAATGCCCAAGTGGACCTTTGAGCCCAAAACCTAAAATAAAATAGTGAAGAAATAAATTATGGAAATATCTGGTGCATTTCATAGCAAAGAACACATCTGGTAATCAAAAAACATCTGACACTTTGTTAGAAAAACTCGATGAAGTACCTGATTTCGTCCGAAAAGAATTTGGATAGCTCACATACTAGAGTGCGGTAATATATGTGAGTGCATTTAGAAGCGTTATACTATTTTTGATTTCTCTTTTAGGTATTATAACACATCTTAAATATTTATTAAAGCCCCCTTATTCGATCATCTTTGTTTCATATTTACCCACTGTATAAAACAGCTGCAGGAGCATGTCGTAAAATTTATATAGCATTTCGGAGTAATATTTTAACAAATGAAAATGGTACCATTCACTCAGAAGGAAGGTGATTTCTTTAGTGTTTAATCTAGAGCAATAACTGCATTGTCAATAACTGAGAAATGACGAACACCAGCCTCGCTCTTGGTGCCATTTTTAGAGGAAAATTTCACCTGCAGGATAGCCTCACTTTCTCTCTCAACAGCAAACAGCTTCAGACAGGTGAAAAGTATTCTCTTCCGTAATATAATAGGCGATAAACCAGCTTTCGCACTGAGAAAGAGAGAGATTTGAGGAGTACTTTGGTAGGTATCATTTTGTGTTTTAATCAACAGACCCAGAATCTTTCTCGAGCATCATGAAAAGAAATTTTGCCTTTATCATACTTAAAATCCTGACCACTAGTTCGCCCCACTATCCCACTGCATTAATGATCGCAATAATTAGCTTCACACATTTGTCATTCAAACGCGATGAGAACACTGAAATCCTCACAAATCGAAAAGAGAATTCACTTGCGAGATGAAAACGATTCTAGGCCATCACAGATGCTACAATGCTTCACTATATGCTTCATAATGCAACAAAGAACCAACTAAACGGCATTGTCTTCCAACGTAGGATAATTCACTGACTTCCAGCGTAACGACTAATTATATGAACTCACAGGACTTCTAAACATGTTCAGAACAAGCGCTCAGGCGTGGGGAATAATCATGTCCCTTATTATCGCATAACTATGATGAAGAGGAGTTGAGAAATAAATCGAGGTTCAGCTCTCCTCAGACGTATAAATATTGATTCAAACATTTTTGGTGCAAAAGTAGTAATAGTATCAAAAATGCACCTCAAAGCTAAAAGAGCACTTTTCGTTTTTGATGTGCTATCTCTAGTGTCTAGCCAACAGATACAAAAGCTCTTTAAACACGAGCGACAAGTACGAACAACTTCGTACTTAAAATTAACTGCAACAATAACAAAGAAATTGACTATTGCGACACTAAACTCCAAAACTAACGAGACAACTGTGGACAATTAAAGGGAGTATAAACCTTTTTTTGGGGGGGTAAGAATCGTTGGAAAACTATAAGCAACCATTATGAAGAATATTTGCAAACCTCTGCTGTAAATAACTCTCTTTCATATAATTTTCCCAAATAAGGGGTGAAAGCATCTGCTTGAATTTACATTACTTCAAGAAGTTGCGGATGTTTAACAGGGTCTCGAGTGATTAGTCAGTGTATAATAAATTTCTTTGTTTTTATCTTTACTCTTCTATGATCTTCGTTCGTTAAAATGAATTATTTTTTAACTTCCTTTTTTACAAGTTGAAAAATATGATTGCATTAATCAAGCAATGAGTGGACGCACTATTGGTTAAAATTAAAACCTTAGTAAGATAAGCTCATTATCTAGAATGCTCCCAAGATCTGAGGCATCGATGCGTAATTGCATATGCTACGAGTAGTTAAGATTTTTATCTGATATCAGCATGATTACTTTTGTACTTTACTTCATGGTTAGCAGAGATAGTGGTTAGCGACTCTGATTGCCGTACCGAAAGGCCAGGTTCGAATCTCGAAAAGCATGGATGCTTGCAAATGTCTGGTGTATGCGCGGCATAAGGGCATTCTAAATATGCGGCAAGCCGAAAGTATTTTATAGAGGTTGCTGGTATGGGAAGAAAGAATACCCTCAATCCGTCTTCTTGGGGTTATCTCCTTCAAAATTGCGGACGAAACTGAGCGAAGTCGTACAGTCACACGTACTATGCTCAAGGCTATTGCCAACAACAGGCGTAATCTTGCCCTCCTTGCCCCGATGAATTTTGTGGGCTTGTTCTGATGTTACTGTCAGACATGTGAAATACGACACAACCCAATAACGACCCACTTTATATTTAGCATTATCATTTCAGCATTATATTAACATTATTTCCGTGCCTCTGTGGGAACAATTTAATTAATGCAGTGCAATATTAAAATAATATTTCAAATCAGAGCTGTGCTTCAGTTATTTAACGAGATTTGTTTTGAAAATAAAACTTTAATCTAAGAGCATTAAATATGAAAAAATGAACATGTCTCCCGATTTCTTATCATTTAAAAAAGGAACAAAAGCACATTCTTATAAACGACTTGCACTGCAAAAGATAACGCCTTTGAATTCTTTACTGGCTCAAGATATGATAACAAGAATACAGATGTAATAAGTTTTCATTTTATTCCAGATTAGACTTTGAATAGCTTCGATAAAATTCTTAATGTTTTAGAATTTCTGTCCGAAGCAGGGCTAGTGATGATAACATCTTATGTTTTATGGATACAGGCAATATGTTAGCTCTCAGACGACATAAGTAATATTTTAGAGCAGCTGCTTCCAGAGGCCTTTTTCTTTCGCAGAGCCCTTCTTAGAATCAGCTCCTCCAGTGGGGCCCCATAGACCTATTATATGTCTTAGAAGTCAATATATTAAAGACTAGTACTACATGGCTAGGAAAAAGATATAGATAGTAAAGAAATGTCAAGTAAAGAGATTTCTAAACAGTTGTGCAGCGTCCAGGAAATATAATTATATACTATAATGTATTAATTTGCAATATTATCTCTGCTTTTGGGACAAATTTTAACGCTTTTACGAGTCGTGGGACCCCAGGCGTCCCACCTTTTTTATCAGTTTTTATCTCCCAGATGAAAGCTGCAAAATTCCATTTAAAATACATACAAATGCACCTTTTAGTTCTCTAAATGTATAACAGATGTCAGCACAAGTATTCATTCATGGAAATATGTAAAAATTTCTTTAGTCTAATTTTGAAGCAGCTTTTTTTTTTCTTAATTTCTAATGCAATCTAAATCGTCCAAACAAGAACTTTTGGTGTTAGAATGAATATTTTTATGTGAAAGTTTCCCTTTTCTAATAAAAAATATTATTTGAATTCATATATATAAATTAAGAATGGGTGAAATTAAAAGGTGGGACAGATACGTCCAACCGCGCATGTAGGAATTGCTGCTACAAGATGGCAGCACCGTTCAAATATTTTTAAGTTCAAGTATCATGCTCATTTTATACGTTGATAATGCAAATTAAAAATTTTTTAATAAATTGAAATTAAAAATTTTTTAATAAATTGAAATCATGTTAAAACTTGAAAAATATTTAGTATATTTCCGAAAGAAACGAAAATATAACTCTGTATAACATGAAATGTCATTGAATACTGAATCGATATGTGAGTGTGGTTGGTTCACAATAGAAAAAGGATAGGATTAGGATTATTCAATCATGGCAAAGCACACGAGGGCTATCTGCCTAAAGGGAGAGATGCCTTCGTGGAGGAATTTCTAAAGGAAACTGGCTCGTACACACGTTACACATGGGGAAAACCACGCAAAGACCCATGCAGCCAGCCCGTTCGCGCGATTCGAACCTCGGACCGAACTACCAGTGTTCAGCGTCTTTATCGCTCGGCCGCTGGTGGGCCACAATAGAAAAGTATCCTAAGAAGAGGAAAGAGAGATGAAATGTAAATAAACATATGACATCTTTCTAAATATCTTCCTTCTCAAACCTGTACTAAATAAAGTACTGGCGCGAAAATCTCTGTTTCAAATCTATTATGAAATCATTAAAAAATAGCTAAAAAGTCGTACAGAGAGAGATTTTTTTAAATTATGTATTTTTTTGGGAACAGATTTTTTATTTTACGAATATGATCAATATATTCTACATAATTAATCAAAAACGTTTGTTATATCTTGCATTTTCATTTTGTTGCTAAAACTAGCACTTTAGATAAGATTAGGAGAATTTACGCTCAGGCAAAGATGCCATTTTACTGCTCCAGATGCGCGTTGGGACAAGCGGTGTATCCCCACCACGTCCATGAATTACCTTAAAGGTTTACGTTTTTTTTTTTTTTTTTTTTTTTTTTTTTTCATGAAATAACGGTGTGTTAGGGGCTAATTATCTATGTATAAAGTTATTTTTTCAAAAAACATCATCATGCACCTTCAAAGGGTTAAACCCTTAACGTTTACCATTAGGGCTAAAAAACGCGCCATATGATTTAAGAAATTGATGGCAGGATTATTCAGAAGCTGTGAAGAATTTGCTGTACGCTATATTGACGATGTCGCAGTATTCATGCAAAACTGGGAAGAACATTTTTTCATCTCGAAGATATTTTGGAGAAGATAAAAGTTTCTAAACTGTGTACCAAAGCTTTCGAAATGTCAGTTTGATCATACGACCGTGAAATATCTAGGTAATGTAGTAGGACAAGGTCAAAGAAGACCAGAGGTAAAAATATATCCATAACGGACTATAACTATCACGAAAATACAGGTCCAGTCATTTTTCGGACTTGCGGGATAATATCAAATGTATATTTCTAAATGTTCTACGATTTCTGCAGCATGGACAAGTTTTTCAAAAGGAAATGTTGCTAATGAACTATAAACTGGACTAATGCTTGCTAAGAAGCTTTTGATGAACTCAAGACTGTTAACAGAAAAACCAGTTTCATACAATCGGAACTTTTCTTAGCTATTTATCATTCAGTACGATGCTTCAAATATTGGTATTGGTGCTCTATATTATTACAGGTAAATGCTAAGGGCAAAGAACATCTAATAATGTTTCTTAGCAAAACGTTTTCACCTACATAACAGAAGTG